ATACGAACGTATTATTTATTTGTTTGCCTAGATTTTTTTCATGTGCATTTCAAAAATAATCTCGTTAAATATAATTGTACAGCTTAACTTATCAATTCAATATTGTATTTAATTTAGAATAGTACAAACTTTCGATCCTACAAACTTGAAATTAAATTTATATGCTGACCTACGGTACTTCCCTTTCGTAAATTCCCTTTATTGTACTTCCAAATCCAAGTTATTTATGATTCATAAATTCACAACTTTGATGATTTAATCTCTTATAAAAATATTTACTTCTTGAAATACTTTATTAAAAGTAAATATAAAAGCATTCCCAACAAATTTTAATATTTACCTGGTCAACTTCCAATAATCTTCGCGAACAAACTATTTTGTTTAAATTTTGCAACTATATAATCAAAAAATTTTTTAAGGCTAAAATTTTATTTACCACGAATTCAATTTTACGTTCAAAATACATGTCTAAACCATTACGCAGGTTAACATTTTCCTACTTGTTTAGTGATCATAAAATGTTTATGTTTGTCATCTATTTTAAAAATGTTACTTCTTCAATATTCATTTTAGAAATAATATGTGCTATGTTTTTTATATTTTTAATTGGTACTTCAACAGGACCACGTTTCAATGAAACACTTTCACAATTTTAATCAGATTACGTAAATGAAATCTAAAAAAAACATTAAAGCAGATTTGAACATTTTCTTAAATTCTTGTATCGCATAATGGAATAATTACAAGTATACAGTTTAAAGAAAGAGATTATCAAGCACTAAAAGTTCCGTACTTTTAAAAATAAATTTTGCAAAATAATTCATAACACTTTTTTTAGCATACACTTTTCCGATTTTATTTTTTATTTTTAAAAAACTCGTATAGCATTTACACTTCTCCTATCCGATTAATTAATACCAATTGTGATATTTCATATGATTTATCAATGGTAGAAACTATTTATACTACGTATTCGTAAGATTGCCAATATATCAAAAATTAAAATGATGAATTGAATAATTAAACACATTTCCCTTCCATAAATTTTTATTTCCAGAATTTAAGCACCAAGTTATTTTCAAATAAAGTTAATTTTCAGAGATAATACGTCAAATCTTTCTATGAAAGCTTGATTAAAAAATTTTTTTATTTATACGATAGTTCTTGTTAACAGAAAAAATATCATAAGTAAATTATGCTTTATTTGTACTATTTATTTAATTAAAAAATAATATAAATCATTTCTTAGTACGAGCGTACAAGCGAGAAAAATCAATCAAAACCTTACAAAAAGCCGACGCGCAGTCAATTAAGGACAATTTAATTTTTTCAGAAACAGGCTTTTAATAAAGTGAGGCTTTGTTATCGATAGTCAACTGCGATTGATCCGATTATCAAGAAAATAATTATCTGCTGACTCTTTATTTAAGGCTCCTGCCATACCTTAAACGATCATATCTAGCTCACATCCTATACAGATAAGTACTTACTTAGTTTAAATGTATATATTTATAAGTATGCATACGTGATTATAGTGATATAAAAATATAGTTATATTAAACTAAAAAATTTTTAACAATTTATAAAAAATAGTAAGAACATTTTAAAGATTTTTTTCTTTTTAAACCTCGTCATTTTATCTCTATAAAGTATGACAAAGTATGTACATAATTAATCACACTATATGTTTAATTTGGAGCACATAGTCGAAGAGATTCCTAATTTTTTTCTGCAGTAAGTGTAAGTATGTACATGTATACTTTTTCACTTTTTGGTTGATGAGTGGTTCAAATCGAAAATTTGTAGTGTTCTCCAAAAATCAAGAAATAAATACGTCATCAACGCATGAGTAAAACAGATTTATGCAATTTCATCTTTATTTTAATATAACGTCATTCAATAATTTGTCGTTATTACATAAGTATGTACGTTTTTTGCATAAATATAAAATAAATACTTAACCACATATTTTACCACCATTTAAAGTATTTAGGCAAAAAAATTCCTGTACATAAATATTTAGTTCCTCGTGCTTATTGAAATGAAAAAACTTATCTCGTTTTCCTCGAATATTTTACAAAAATGTTGTTGAACGACGTTTTAATACTTCTTGCACGTGGCAGCATAAAACTTAACTCTATTTATTTCGAAAAATTCCAACAAGTGTGTACNCGAATATTTTACAAAAATGTTGTTGAACGACGTTTTAATACTTCTTGCACGTGGCAGCATAAAACTTAACTCTATTTATTTCGAAAAATTCCAACGAGTATGTACGTGTACAACTTTTTATGTATGTAATATAAGGATATGAAATTTTTAAGTTTTACGTTTCAACATATAAAGTAATAGGCGAATCGCATAAGAAACAGACGTGATAATCGATTCTAAAATAAACGCACGACGGATTTTTTTTACTAGTATATTATTTTATCTGAATTTGAAAATGTTTCCTTTGGTACCTGTAATTTAAAAATTTTTTGGAACATTATAGTATTATTTTACGTGAATTATCAATAATTACAATAAAAATTATTAATTATGCTGTAAACCATACAATGTTGAGAATCACTCAACCACGTCAACTACTTACGAAGAATTTGTGATATACACGTTTAAATTAAACTTATTCTATGAAGAATTATTATTTAAAAACTTACATTTTAATGTGTTACCAATATAATTACAACACAAGAAATCACCTGCATGTACCTATAATCTCTACCATCAGAGCATGAATATGTGTTCGCGTAGCATACGCCTGGAAGTAAAAAAAAAAAAGAAAAAAAAAACAATCACGTGTTCATTTCTTTAAATTCATTACGTGTCTGTTCAAAATTGCTTATAAATCTATTTAAATAAATACTCACAACATTCAACTGTTTGTAACAGAGTAATAGCCCCTAGGGTGCAGATAAAGTACAGTGCTTTGAACATAATGCCACAGTTTACTGTAGTTCCTGGTAAATGAAAATCGAAAAATAAAAACATTATCATTGGCCGTATTAGAATAAAAAATTTAAAAAAAGCACGTATTAGTAGAAGACTTGTGGTAATTCAAAATTTTTAATCATATAGAGTTGCAAATAAATTTATATAGTAACTTGCGATTCTTACCTCTCGAAAGTTTCCTTTTTTTTTTTTGCTTCCAAATACTAGTTATTTAGAATATATAACCGCTCTACAATATTTTTGATTCTCCTCGACACGCTGGAACTTGACAACTAACGCTATTCTACTGTTTTTTATGTAGTTTTCAATTAAAACATGGGTAATTCATTTATTTACTTGAAACTCTGTTTTTCATATCGCGTGTCCTTTTATGAAATCCTTAAAATAAAATTCAGCGCTCATCAACTTATTGTAATGTTGTACATTTATCACTTTAGTTGTATTGTCATAAAGTACACATACTATTGAAAAAGACATGTTGTGTCTGATCTTATCTCTATTTGTGAATTTTTTCTTTAAAAAATTGAGCCTTTTCTTGTACATAAAAATCAATGATCAGTGTATTTAACTAAATTATTTTTTGATGGATTGTTTACATTTATCTTCTGTGAAGAGGATCTTCATTTCCTATTTTATAAAAGATACGCCATTTACAAAAAAACTCTAAAGTATAATCGAGTCAAACTCCCCATGGTAATAATAGTTATAAGGGAAATCCAACGCAAGATTTTCCAATAACATTAGAAATGGTGGACATTTATTTTTAAAATTTTCCTTATACGCTTCCCTTGAATATTCATCCATTCCAACTTCTCCAAACCGTAATATAGTTCATAAATGTTCAGATCGTATATAGACATGAAAATTCGCGTATGAGTCCATGCATCCTTCGTGTTTTCGAAAAAAAAGAAAAAAAAAAAAAAAAAAAAAAAGACACCGAATAGTCCATATACGCGTCGATGAAGAGTCCCGGGGGATAAAGGTCCATTATCTTCATTATTATTCATCTAAATGANTTTTTTTTTTTTTTTTTCGTCAACCAACTAACCCTGTCGACAATATTGATGGTGTAGGTATGCTCAAAATTTGAAAGGCTTCAGTCTGAAATCAAGAAATTACTTGAGGATTCTCTCAATCATGTATATACTGCACTTAAGGTACCACTTATTGGTGTTACTAATACCACGCACCTTAAGCTAGAATATAGTGTCCATCTATAAAAAATAAACTGCAAAACCATAATCGATTACACTGTCAAGGTCTCCTTAAAAATGAGCTCAAAAACCCTTGCATCAAAAAAAATTCGTACATCAAAACGCTATTCCTTCTACTGCAGAGAGTCTCTCTTTTTTATTCACCTTCGACTCGCTCAAGTACCTTCAACTGTATAAGTACACATATGAAAAACCCAGAGCCATTACACACCTGAGACATATGTACATGTGTATAGCTCAGAGTCTCTTGGCTTGCATCTTTTATTTTCCTGACTCTTGAGTTTCTCATTTTCACCTCGAAGCGGCACTCGATCCTCGTCCTTTTTTTTCACCCCTTCGTCGTCGTCGTTGCCGCAAGTTATGGCAAGAAAGGCTTAACTGCGGGCACTTATATACGCGAGCTCGCACGGCGATTTGGTGATTTACACCGAGTCGCGCAAAGCTGTGTGTATGTGGGTAGGTACGAGGCAGTGAAAAAAACGAGCGAATTTTCCGAGAGCGACGCGCGGAAACTCGTTCCGCCAACCTGATTTATAAGAGCCGGAGCTGCTACCTCCGTCACACCACCGCTGCACTACATAAATGTATGCGTGTGCGCCCGAGCTTCTTTATTTTTGCCTCTTGGCTGTCTTTCCCGAGAATTTCACGTGTAGCTTAGGCTTTCGAAGGGTGGTACGTTTTTTTTCTTTTTTTTCTTTTTTTTTTTTTTTTTTTTTTTTTTGCGGTGGTATGCACACCTGAACTTCAAGCAGAGAAAAAACAAAATCTCGAGACCCACCATTTACATGAGTGCGCTCCTTCGCATGAAGAAAGATATGGTGTTTTTTTCCGTATATGGTTATTTGTTTAGGGGAATTAACATTACTTCATTCGAGATTGAAGAAGATATTGATCAAGTCATGTTTATGTAGTGCCGATCAAATGTATTTTCGAGTGAATTTGATGAAATGACAAATACATCCTCCGATTCCACCCATTCAATGCTTTAAGTTCTAATTTAGTCAATTTCTGTTCGCTTGGATAAAATTTATTTAACCAAGGAAATAATTTTTGTTAAAAGGTTTTACCAGAAACTTTTTTATTAATAAAAAAAACGAGACTAAATTCATTGCTGTTCTCAAATTTCATCAATAAACAAATTTGGGATAAAAAGTATACCTCACGAAATATTTAAACTTTTCTGACACTCTAAATATTCAGTATTACAAGTATCACTATTATTCTCTGCATTTTGAGAAAATCGTTGAACCTCCTTTATCTCGACATATACTATTATTGCTACTTTTACACAAAATAATCAGAAAAGGCACAAAGTTAGTGGTTTGAAGAACCACTCGCGCCAAAGTTCATTCAAGTCCATCGAGCATTGAGAAAGAAAAGTTACTCTTCTCATTGTTTTGCATAAAGATATCTTGTAATTTTACTAATTAGTGAATGCATTGAGGAAAAGTTAAAACTTTGGCTGGTATACCGAATGTCCTTAGATAACAAAATGAAAAAAAAAAAAAATTGTAAGAAATTAGTTAGTAACATGACAGCTAGTGTTGTTTTTCAATTATTTATTTAGTAAAAATTAATAGTTAATGTTGTTAGATTTTTTCACATAATATCCAATTCATCAAGTCATATATCTAACTAATCAAAGTGAGGGTTAAACAAAATCTTCAAATTGTTGTATCAGAAAAAAAAATTTATTTTTCTCTCGAATTGAATCACACTTTAAAAGTTTCATCAGTAATTACAGAAGCAGCGCTGCATCTTTTTGCTTAACATAGGTAAGTAGTTGTACAACATATCGAAGATTAAAGCACTGAAGGGCAATGGTGCTAAAACTATTCGAAATGAAATTTTATACAAGTGAAAATTCAGTGAAACATCTCGGACAAGTGTAAAACACTTCATTAATTTATGGGGGTCACCCTACCCATTTCCCTTGAGGAGATCAATATTAATGTATCGTTGCAAAAAAAAAAGACCCATTCGATACTCGGGCCAAGGTTCGATTTTCACTTTTAACGATCCACCAGCCACGACCCGAAAGGAAGAAGCCAAACAAAGGGGCGGGCGAAAAGCCCATAAGAGCTCCTGGAATCGCGTGTAGTCGAAAGGTGGAAGCTTTCTCAAGTCGGCCGTGACAATTGGAGAGCACCGACTCCTCGGAGGGGGAGGGAAATAGCCTGGTAATTAAATGCAATTAAAAGTCACTCGCTGTGCTCAGCCGAACGGACTAATGCGCTTGCGATGTGAATTCTCTGATAGTACAACCAGTGCGCGCGCTTTTCTGTCACCAGGTATGAATCATCCAAACGACCAATGTTGCACGAAATTTCTTAATACTTCGTAACGCACTCTGATGTGGTGCATTGTTGAACAAAAATATACATACTTTTTATTGAAACTCCACGCGACGAAGGGTCTTTTCGTAATCATAAAGAAAAAAAAATGATGCAAGTACCATTTATGGTAAGGATATACATACGAGGGTGTACTGTTTATGTTACCAAAATGATATCGTTAAAGTCAAACATGAATTAAATTAAATGTGGAACGAGATTACGCTGTTCAACTGAATGCCTAATATTAATCTTACAATGGTAATTTTTAACATAATGGTGTCGTGCGAGCGAAATCATTTCAACGACAAACAAAAGGGACAAACCCTTTTTGTACGACCCAGAGATAAGTATGACTGGTGCACTAAGAGAAAATAATAACAAAAATTATAGAGAAATTCCATCAGCAAAAGTTACTATTTTACAGTAAATTGGATATGCAAGGTGGCAAAGAAGGAAAAAAAAATTATCATTTTTAACAGTAAAAACAATTGTTTTAACAGTAAAAATTACCATGCAGGAACAGTAAACCTTAAAAGGAATGGTTAATAAGTTTTACTCTCCGGCACAGAAATTTTTATTATTCCAACTATTATTTTTACTTGTCGAACAATGATTTTACCTGTTACAACAATAGTTTTTTCTGTTAAAAATAACAATTTTTTCCTTTTTTGCCAACTTGCGAATTTGATTGACTGCGCAGAATAGTAATTTTTTATGGAATTGCTCTATAATAATTATTATTTTTTTATCTCAGTGTGGTTACGACGATACAGATGTATTTTTTTGAAAAAAATTACGACAAAGTTGCTGTGAAGCTCAATACCATGACAAAGTAATTATCATTTGTCCGTCACCGAGATTAACAAAAACAGAATAAAAATAAAAAAACGCCACATATACATAGGTATCATAAACAAATACACGAGAAAAACAGTTATTCATAAGAAATAACATGTTGTTACGCAATGACAATGAAAAATAGAGGGTATTTAGTTAAGACGAGTGTCATGAAGAGCTCCTGATGGTACCACCGCCACACCGCCGGTGTACGACCACGTCAGGGAGTTGAGCACTTTGCAGCGGCAAGTTCCGGCGACGATAAGTAATTCGGCCGCTGCGCGTATGATTAAATTACACAGGGGGTCGTAAAGGAAGTACGTGAGGGTGGGACGCGTTTTGTCGGGCCACCTCGCCTATTTCGACTGGGTGGTGGTGCCAATTGCCAAAAGTTTTCCCGTACAACTGCCGCGCAATCGGACCAAACTTACTTTTTCGAAGGACTCGCACGTGCAGCTCTCCCCCGGGGTGGACGTAAAAAACTTTCGCTGTTTACCGTCGCAGCTGACATCAGGGGGATTTTATTCAACCGTGTCTGATAAAACGTGGCGATAAATCTCGTCAAAAATAAATAAAAATTTAATGTCGTGCACTACGTTACAATACGTCATGTGTACAAACAAGTGGCATACAAAAATCGGATATTGTACATATCTTGATAAATCAAAGTTTTCCTCATAAAAGCAAAAAATTCATTCAAAAGTGCCGCTTCAACAAAAGTTCTGGATGATCCTTTACCATTTCAGCTTCGTCTGAGAAAAAACTTGGCATTTTAAGTTTGAAAGTCACAGGATGACCTTTCAAAAGTTGAAACACGTATGAAAAAGAGATTTAAAAATCATACCGCTGTAAAAAGATGGA